TGTTTCGAATTGATATGGAGGATTATGAAGGCGACCGAAGATTTGCAAAGTATACGACTTTCGCTGTGGCCGGCGAAAGCGATAATTATCGGGTGACAATCGATGGATACCGAGGTACCGGAGGCGATGCATTGCTATCTCTCAATAAGCCTATCAGGTATTGGTTCATAGCAGCTTTCTGTACTTTGCTCTGAGAATCACCAGTAATATAAGGGTAAGTTTTGAAAAGCTCCTGTCCAAGAATTTGGAAGTACGTTTAGGATTGCCGGATCCCTGCACTTAAGCTGATCAACTTTTTTCTACAAATGACAAATCTAAGTTGAAATATCACATTCCGGATGCATCATCGCCGATCAGATATTTCAACTTCCAGTTTATTGCAAACCAGGATTGCTCCTTTCAACATGATGACATCAAATTCATGTTGATACTATTAACTTTAAAAAAAAAAAAAAAGCGTACTAGATTACAATTCTATGTTCTCAAACTTTCCTGATGGGGGAATCGTTTTATGTGCACTGCTGACAATTAGTGCTCCTTACATATATCCTACCACACAGTGTCATCTGCACTTTACTGACTATGATATGCTGTTAGAAGCATTGTTTCCTCGCTTTTTCTCAGTTTCTTACGGAATGCCTTTGATATCCTAGAAACATGAGGTTTACAACGAAAGACAAAGATAACGACGTTAAAAGCAGTGGAAACTGTGCGTTAAACAATAAGGGTGGCTGGTGGTATAATAGCTGCCATAACGCCAATCCAAATGGTTTGTATAAAGGTGGAGGTAATGCACAAGGTATTACGTGGGGGTCATTTCGAGGACAAGGATATTCTTTAAAGCACACCGAGATCAAAATTCGACCAGCATGATTTCATTTGTGGTAGCTGCATCCTTAAGCCAATAGTAAACTATAGCTTCTAATTAAGAATTAAAGATATCTGTTTTGCGTAGAGTTACAATTCTTAATTTAATTTGTGATGATTGCAATATACAAGTTCCGTTAACGCGACATATTGTTGGCAGATGGCGCGTTTAGCTGTTGTCTTTCAACGCTCTTAGTGGTGATAAACTTTCTTAAATTTTGTTTGTGAAATAGTTTTATTGATTTATCTACGTATGTAGAGCACTTTTTCTGTCTTTGAATTTATGTCACTCCCTCAGTAAGAGAAAGGCACTTTTAATTCGTATTATGAAAACGTTACTTATTTTGTCAGATGAGACTTTCCTAGATATTGATGATGAGCTTAGTTTTAATTAAACGTTTAAATGTCTCAGAGATTGTTTAATTGAGCGAGTTATTTCGTCACTGAGGCTGGCTTGCAAACGCACTTAAAATAAACATCCGCGGAGCCCTGCAAAATATCTCCCGTCAACTCGATGAAAAGAGACCTGCTACGATTAGCTCGTGTTTCATTTTTTCTCTGGTACCTTACACATACCTCAATTGAAAACCTGTCATCTTTCTTTTCTTAACTGCATCTTTCAATAAATAATTACCTCAAAATATAATTTTAAGTGTCTGCTACATTTCAACAAGAACTTAGATAACTATATAAAAATAACTATGGAGAACGATGTTCTGGACCACGAGACATTTGCTTAAACCCTGAACTCCCTTTGGAGATAGTGCTAAGTTGAATTATGGCCAACAGATCTATAAAGACGCGTAAATCTTAACTCTGTTACAAATCAAGAGAGGAGGGTTCCTCCTACTTTTTTGAAATATTTGCGTCCCTGTTTATCGAAGATTGCTTAATGCTTTTCTAACGTAAAATGGCTGTCAACGCTCTCCCTAAGCGTTACGTTTTGTCTGGAATGATTTTTGTTGGATTCTTTGTTATGTCCGGGCTGAGAGTAAATTTGAATGTCGCTATTGGTGCGATGGTCAATAATCACACGGCTGTGGTGGATGGAGAAATAATCTGCAGGGTAAGTGAAGGTAGCACCTCAGAGAAAACTCGTTCATGTAACACTTCAATCAACTTGGGCTAGATAAAAGTCCTCATACAAACACCAAGAGAAGCTCATAATATAAAAAAAAAACTCGGGGTCAATTTTTTTAATGTATATCGTTGGTAACGATAGTGAAACGTAGTTAAGCTTAACACTTAGTTAATTATCTTATCACTTTTCGATCCACTTCATTTTTCAATTCACTATTGCTAGCGATCACCGCTTGCAGCCGACCATGACTTATTTTAGCGCTATTGGTTTGTCTCTATTCTATGATTCCATTCTTCCGTAAGCGACCACTTCACGTGGGCCGACCTCAGTACAGGTGCCCTTCGTGTAACAGGACGTTTTAAAAGCCACAAATGTT